GAAGTGGATCTTTGGACAGATGTGAGAGTGTGTCAGAGGAGAATGGGGGGTCAGGAGTAGGATACTCTGCAGTCAGCCAAGGATAGATCCTCGGAACCCAGTGTGGTCCCCAAGTCTTCCGGGAGTGACTTCTGAGTGCATAGCTGAGCACCTGCATGTGTGGCCCAAAAACTATAAATAGAGAATGGGAAACTTTGTGCATTGGGGCTTGGGGAGGCAGGGCAAACCACAGAAACCCACTCTCTCAGGACAGCAGAAAGCTCCGGCCTGTCGCAGTAGAAGGACCCAAATTTCTTTATAAAAAGAAAAGCAGCTAATGGTTCTTTTTCAAGTACTTAATACCATATACTCAAATTTCATAAGCAAAGTCAGGAGAAGCTGATTAAAATTTAATGCTGCAACATCTATGGAGGAAGTGCACCAGCCCAGTCTGCATTACGTTTGATCGACGTGGCCCCTAAAGACTTAAAAGCATGCGGGGTATTTGCGCAAGATCGGGCACGGTGTGGAGCAACCTTTTATTTTCCTAGAGACACCGCTTGATTAAATAGAAACATTTTTTTTTCTGCAAGAAACAGATGTCCATTCAAGCCTGAGAGGTTTTTGGGTTTTTTTTTCCTCTTTTTGGGTGACACCCGGCAATGCACAGGGATTACTCCTGGCTCTGTACTCAGGAATTACCCCCGGTGGTGCTCAGGGGACCATACAGGATGCTGGGAACTGGGAATCGAATCCGAGTCGGCCGCGTGCAAGGCAAACGCCCTACCCGTTGTGCTGTTGCTCCAGCCCCAACCCTGAGAGTTTTCATGTCCCATCAATGGCCCAAGAGAAAGCAGCACTGCCCCTTGGCAGAACACAGGTCAGCGGTTTCCAGAAAGAGCATCACATCAAGAGAGCAGGAAAACTTGAAACTTGGGCCGAGTCGGTAGTGGGAGGTTAGCTCATAAGCGTCTCTTTAGAGCCCACTGTGTGTCAGGCACAGGTGGGGCCCTGGGGAGCAGTCCTCGCATCTGGGCCTCGGGCCAACGCACGGTCCTTCTCTTGCAGTGAAGACAGACGTGGCCCCACAAGAGATTTCCACATTTTGTTTGTGCCCTGGCGTAGCCTGCTGTGTGAGCAGCGGCTGAAGGACCTGGGCATCCTGGGCTCCTTCATCCGTAGGGAGGAGTACAGCCTGGACCTCATTCCCTTCGATGGGGACCTTCTCTCCATGGAGTCGGAGGGCGCCTTCAGAGTAAGTTCAGTGTTTGCCCTTTGAACTTGACACTCTTTTCTTCCTCGTTTGTGATGGTGACACTCACACTGGCATTTTAGTGATTCCTGGAAGTGTCCAGTTTCTTCCTTTTGGGGAGAGATGGGAGTTGGTCCACACCCAGCAGTGCTCAAGGTTTACTCCTGGTTCTGTGCTCAAGGATCATTCCTGTGCATGCTCGGGGACCATATGTGGTGCTGGGGCTAGAACCCAGATTGGCTGCGTGCAAGACCAGCGCCTTCCCCTGTGCTGTCTCTCCGGCCGCTGCTCCTCTTGCTTATGGAGAACCTCCTGTTCCAACAAATTTGCTTAAAATTGTTGTTGCCCTTACTGAATTCTCAAAAATCAGTTGTCCTTAAATGTGTTGATTTCTGGTGTTTCTCTGCTGCTGTTCGATGTTTGTCCTTGTGCCCGTCCCACCCTGAATTCACTGTGGCTGTGGAGGAAGTTTTGAGAGTGGAAGGCAGGGCTGCTCCAGCCAGAAATAGTCAAGTCTGTCACTGCGTTTTTCCAGTTAGCCCTTTGTGAGTGATTTTGTTTCCATGACTCGCCTTTCCCCTTGATTGAGTCTTCGCAGGATCTGAAGATTTTTATCTTACATTTTCATTTTCTAGAAATAAAATTGCTTACATTTTTCATTCAAACTCGGGGTTCTGCAGTGTGACCTCAGGGCTGGGTGCAGGGTGTGTGGGAAATTCTGTTTCTCCCACACGCCCATCCCAGCCTGTTTCCTACTGGTTATTTTAAGCACATATTTATTTGTTTGCTTTGCTTTGGTTTTTGCTTGGGGCCTCACCTGGTGATGCTCAGGGGTTACTCTTGGGGGTCCTCAGGGGTCCATATTTGACTCTTTGATGCCAGGGAAGCACCTTCCCACTATACTACCTATCTGGCCCCCCGGAGTTTTTCTTTTTTAAATATTGTCTTTTTCTGAAATCTGGATTTTTGTTTGCAAATATGATTTTATGTGTTTTGTTTACTATCTTTATGACAGGGAGCACTTCTGAAAAATTTCTCTTTCAAAGTGTCAGCTTGGCTCTTAGGGGCACCTGGGCCAGAACTCTGGCTCTTTCTTCTGTGGGGTGAGGTTTCTCCATGCTTAGTCCCTTAATGGAATCTGTAGACCCAAAAGCATTGATTTATGTGAGTTTTCAACCAGATGTTTTTCCTATAGCATATTCTTCACTGGAAATAGGGAAAATTGGGCATGGCTGGAGTTCTGGCAGGCCGAGTGGGACCCCTCTCCCCAAAGTGGGTAAACACCACCTAGAGTGTGCGACCCTCAGCCTCAGGGAGAAAGGGAGGGAAAGGGAAAATAAATACCAGAATGAAGGGGAAGATGCAAGGGGGAAACACATCAGCTTGATAATGTCTTCTAAAAACGGCGTACCAGGGCCAGAGAGATAGTAATGTGGGTAGGGCACTTGCCTTGTCCCTTGCAGACCCGGGTTCATTCCCTGGCACCCCATATGGTCCCCAAAGCCCCGCCAGGTATGACCCCCAGTGCCAAGCCAGGGAGTCAGCCTGAACCCGTGCATTGCCCCAACGCTCCCAGTGCCTGTCTGCGCCCTCTGCGCCCTCTATCATTGAAAGCTTGTGCAGGTGTGTTTGAGATGCGACCGCGTTTCCCTGCATTCCTTGGGTGTGTGAGTTAATTTGTGGTACTGCTGCTGCTGGTCTCAAGACACGACCTTTCTAGAATGCAGGTGCATCACCAGATTTCCGCGCACCATTTCCCCTCGGCATGTTGGTCTCAGCAGCACCTTAAGAGAAAGAACCTGGGGCTCGCTTGGGTTCTGGGCTGCTGTCACCCAGCTGCCTGTGGGTTTGCTCACGTCTCTGGGCTTAAGCCTATGGAATCCAGAGCTTTCCTGGGCTCCCCCGATGGTCTCTCCCAACCCCAGTCATGAAGCAGGGAGTGGCTTGCATGCCCTTGTGTGGTGACAGGACACAGGCCTGCATGCCCCTGTGTATTAATAGGATATGGGCCTGCCTGCCCCTGTGTGGTGACAGGACACAGGCCTGCATGCCCCTATGTATTAATAGGATATGGGCCTGCCTGCCCCTGTGTGGTGACAGAACAGGGGCCTGCCTTGCCCTGTGTGGTGACAGGACTAGGGGTTCGCCTTCCATCTGAGCCATTGCAGGTCTGGGAGCGGCCTCTCTGCTCCCTTTTCCAGTCAACAGTGCGGAAGCGTTGAGGAAGCGGCTTGGTCAGCCCAACTGGGGATAGGAGCTGTCTCGGTCACACCCAGGGTTGGTCCTGGCCCTGCGTGGGCGGGGCAAGGCCATCCGAACAGACAGACCTGAGACAGGTCGGAGGCAAGGGCCCCACACGCCCCCGTGGATGCTGCATTCACGCCTTCTCTCCCGCCCTGAGCCCCGAGTTCAGGACAGGAGGGACCCACACACCACCAGATATGACCCTAGGGGCTTTTAAAGAGGAATTGCAAGGGCTGGAGCTATATACATTCGGAAGGCATTTGCCTTGCACGCAGCTGACCCAGGTTCAATCCCCGGCATCCCATATGGTCCCTGAAACACCACCAGAATAATTCCTGAGTGTAGAGCCAGGGGCATCCCCTGAGCCCCGCCCGGTGGGAGTTGTTAGAGGTGTCTCTGTAGTAATACGCCGTTTTTCAAAATGAATGTTTTGTTTGGGTGCTCGGGGCTGGGCAGCGCCGGGCAGGAGCCGGCTTAGCTGTCCGCAAGCAGACACAGTTCCCGCTCTGAACAGTCACCTGGGCCCCTGAGCAATTTGAAAGAGGCCCCCTAATGCTTTCCTTCCACTGAATCTTCCTCTCTGCTCTGCTCCAATGTGGAGTTTCTGGTCCATTTCTGAGGACTCTTTGGACATCCCGACCAGGATGTTTTGGACTGAAGTTTGAGGCTGCACCCCAGACTTGGCAGAGACATCCTACGGGATCTTTGGAGATGTTATGCTCACTCTGGGCCAGGCTCTCTGGGAGGTCTCCCTCTGCAGCCTGCCCTCAGTCTGCATCCCTCGTCCTCACGCCTTTGGGGTGCACGCCTGTTGGCCGCTGCCTTACAAAGGTTCAAAGATTCCACGATGAGGGGCTGGAGCAATAGCACAGCAGGTAGGGCATTTGCTTTGCATGCGGCCGACGCGGATTTGATTCCCAGCATCCCATATGGTCCCCCGAGCACCACTAGGAGTAGTTCCTGAGTGCATGAGCCAGGAGTAACCCCAGTGCATTGCCGGGTGTGACCCAAAAAGAAAAAAATCAAAAAGAGAGTCCTGCGATGGGCACCAGCAGTGCCGCCCCATCAGGTGGAGTGCAGGTGAAGCGCGTTGCGTGATTTCCCTCCTCTGCTCTCTGCACTTGCTGGATGAAGGGATTGAGGCACAGGAGAGATCTTGAGGTCCCGCTGGGGACCGTGTGTGCTCCGTCAGCCCTGCTGAACCGCCCAGCTGTGGGGCGTGTGTGTGCTCTTTGCTCTTTCTGGGCCAAAGATGTTTCTTTTTGTCTGTGTGTTAAATGGACCTTGTGGCCCTTGTCCGAGACCGTGGCTGCCCTCCTGCTGTCCCCTGTGACACTCGCTGCTGTATGTGGGAGAGGCTGCCTGCCCTTCCACAAGCCCAGAGTGTTCTGCTGTGTGGTCACGCGGGCAGGCGGAGGCCAGCCTTTCCTCGCCCGCCCACCAATGCTTGCCCCCAGTCGAGGTGCTGCCTTGGGGCCTCGACGCTGACTCACAGAGCCTGTGCCCGCCTGGCCCTCTACCACAGGAGTGCTACCTGGACAGCGACCAGAGGAGCCTGTACCACGCGGCCAAGGGCCTGATGACGCTGCAGGGCTGTGCGGTACCATCCCCTAGATCTTCTGCAAGGGTGAGTGCGCCAGGGTGAGCCGGGGCGGGGAGGGAGGCCTCTCTCCTGCGGGTGGGGTTTGGGGCTCCACCTCGCAGTGCTCTTGGCTCTGTGCTGGGGCCACCAAACTGAGGCTGTCTGCGTGCAAGGCGTGACCCCTGGCCTCTCTGCTGTCTCCCAGCCCTCTTTCCTTTTCTCTTTTCTGTTCTTTATCTTTTCTTTTCCATCCCTACTCTGCCTCCCTCTCTCGCCCTCTCCCTCCTCCCACCCTCTCTGTACCCAGCAGTGCTCGGGGCTCACTCCTGGCAGGGTTTGAGGGATCGTATGTGGTGCCAGGAATTGAACCTGTGTCAGCCACCTGCAAGGCAAGCATCCTACCCACCATACTGTCTCGGGTCTGTTTTGTTTTATTTTATTGTTCCATTTTTTTCCGTCTTATTTTTAAATTTTGGATTGCCGGGCTCCTTTTAGCTTCATTTTAAAATCTGCCCATTGCTAAAAAGGCTCTCCCTGATTCTGTACTTTGTTCCCAGCAAGTGGCCAATATGATGATGAGGATGAAGAGAGAGTTTACAGAAAGTCAGAATTCAATATTTCCTGTTTTTGATAACCTCTTGTTGCTTGATTGAAATGTGGATTTATTAACGCCCCTTGCGACTCAGCTGACATACGAAGGACTCATCGATGAAATTTATGGCATCCAGAACAGTAAGTGAAGTGACATCATTACTAATAGGTTAGCTGAGTAAAATCAATCTCAAAAGTGTCTGTTTTTAAAAGTGTGGCATTTGTGTATAAGTCAGAATACTTGAAAATGTCAGGCACTGACTTTCAGCCCAAGGTTAAAGCAAGCTCGAGCCAGGACACCATCGGGGAAACTGAGGCGAAGGCCTTGTGCAGAGGGCCATGCGGTGTGCAGCCCCGCTGCTCAGGCCGCCCAGGGAGGCGTGAGGAATAGAGCGTTTCTGAGGGGTGCCTGTGTCCGAGGTCAGGGGGCTTTGGCCCCGGATGTTAGATTCTGTAGCATTTCAGATCTGAGTGGGGGCTAGGAAAGCTCACGGGGCTAGTGCCAGGTTCACAGCCAGCGCTCAGTTCCATCTGTGCTCCTGCCTCATCCAGTGAGCACTGAGCCGGGAGTAGCTCCTGCTGGGATACAGTCTGAGAAGTTTCCCACAGTCTGATTCATGTCTTTTCTTCAGAACAGGGAGCCCCAGGCCGCAAGAGGGGTAACTCCGGCGCCTTCAGGAGTGGCCCTGGCCGGGGGCTGGGGAAACAGCCCTGGGGATAGAGCCCCGGTCTGGAAGGACGGGGATGCAGCTAACTGCATGGGGTCTCTCTGGGGACACAGAGCCCTGCAGCTGCTGAGTGCTGGCCGAGTCCAGACAGTGCTGTCTGTCCAGTGTGCCAAGCTGGTTATCGCAGAGTGGATTGCGATGGCGTGTGGGTGTGTGTGTGTGTCTGTGTGTGTTCGTGTGTGTTAGTGTGTATGTCACTGCAGTGGTGAATGCGTGGCTCAGTGACAGCGGCCACGGAAGCAGAACAGGACCACACATGGAGGCATTTCCACACAACAAAGCGTTTTCCTGCTTTTTAGTGATTATGGGGGTGTTTCCGGTTTGTTTTTTACCAGTTGTTCTGAAGGATAACTTCTTAAGTTGCTTCTTTTTGTGGGGACAGTCGTAAGCAGTGCCCAAGGGACTGTGGGGCTGATCTCTGTGATTTTCTGCTCTGTGGGGCCAGTCTGTGGCCCTGGGGCCACCGGGGCTGTGCCTAGCAGCAGCTGGGGGTGATGCCACACACACAGCCCCTCCCCAGACTCCTGCTACGAACTTTCACTGGCACGGGAGCACCCATTGCGAGGGGTCCCCACCTCCTGGTGCTTCTGCAAGTCCCTCGAGGGATCTGGCAGAGGTGCTGGGGTTGCTGGTGCGGAGGTGTGAGAGATGGGGCTTGTGGGGTGCCTCCGGGGGGAAGGAGTTTCGGGAGCTCATAGTCTCTTCACATCACACACTTACTTCTGATCAAACATTTAATTAAGGGAGAGGGCTGGAGTGATAGCACAGCGGGTAGGGCGTTTGCCTTGCACGCGGCTCAGCCCGGATTCGATTCCCAGCATCCCATATGGTCCCCTGAGCACCGCCAGGAGTAATTCCTGAGTGCAGAGCCAGGAGTGACTCCTGTGCATTGCTGGGTGTGACCCCCCAAAAAAGAAACAATTAAGAGAAATCTGAAAAACAAGGGGAACTTGGGCTTCCTCATAACCCCCCAGCTCTGCGCCTGTGGCTGTACCGAGGGCGATGGCAGGCCCGTGTAGGAGTTGCGTGCAGGTTGCCTGGGCCAGCGGCTGCCCCTCTGCTTTGAGCTGGAATGCGAGGTCTTGCTGACCTCGTGTATCTCAGCATGTGCTCAGGCCCCGGGTCCCGCGGCCACCGTGGTGTGCTGTCTCCAGACGCTGGTGCCCGGGCTGTTCCGAGGGGCTTAGGATTTGGAAAGCATCCGAGAAGTATTTTTCTTCCGTCGGTCACTTTCTCTCCCCACATTCTCCAATGCAGGAGTTCTTGTTGTTGCTTTATGATTCTCAGCACCCACCCCACAGTGCTCAGGGCCCACACGGGGCAGTGCTCAGAGGAACAGACAGCTGGACTTGAGCGTGCGCTGCCCCCGATGACCCGTCTCTCTGGACCCACAGCAGTGGAGCTGATTGTGTGTAGACACGTCGGGATTTGTGTTGAAAGTGGAGGAGATTTTTTTTGAAAGGAATCCACTTGGAGCTAGAAGCAGTGCAGTAGCTAGGGTGAGTTTGGTCCCCAGGACCACATATGGTTCCCCCAGTCACTGCCAAGAATTAGCCCAGAACACAGAGCCAGGAATAAGCCTTGAGCACTGACAGGTTTGGCCCCAAAATCAGAGAAAGGAAACAGAAAGGAAAGAAGCCGTTGGAGCTGTCTCCCGCCCTCAAGCACACTTCCATGCTGAGATGATTTCTGGGATCTTGGTTTTTTTTTGTTGTTGTTGTTGTTGTTTTTCTTTTTTTTTTTTTTTCGGAGAGTATCTTGCCTGCACGACAAAGTCTGGCAAGCTACCCTTGACCTGTTCTATATGGCAAATAAAGTAACAAGTCTCAAAATGGAGACTTTACTGGGCCCACTTGAGAAAAATCGAATAACAATGGGAGGACAGTGACAGGGGTCACACTTGGCAATGCACAGGGGTTACTCCTGGCGCTGCACTCAGGAGTTACTCCTGGCTGGTGGGAAGGCGCTGCCCTTGCAGAAGCCAGGACTGAGAGGGGCTTTTTGGGGGATGCTCTTTGAAAATGGGGGCTGGGGGGTGGGAAGCGGGGGCCCTTGTCCACTTAGGCCTCAGGGCGGGGGAGGCTGGTCTGGACTCAAGGAAGCCTCTGGTCATGGAAAAGGCCAGCCTCAAGTAAGAGGATTGGGGACCAACACAACTGACTCACTGTGGGCAGTTGGGGCTGCTGGACTCAGAGTTACTGTGAGAGATGGGGGGTTTCAGACTGGGGGTGACTGTGATGCTGGGGGCTGTCACTCTCACCCTTGGGAGATTTGGGCTTGGCTGTGCCCTGGGGCCTTGCCCCCTGGAAGAATGCCTGAGAGTAGCTTGGCTGGGCTTAGAGCTCTCCACATTCCCTCCCCCCAGTGGGCCAAGTTTCTATAGGAGAAGTTTCTCACCAAATCGATGAACAGTTTTTCTTCTGTGGGGGTCAGATGGAATCTTTCCCGGGCAGACAGTTGAATGTTCAGATCCAGCGGTGCTGGGGTTTGGCGACGCACCTGCCCTCTGCACGTGCTGCCGGGCACTGGCACCTTCCAGCACACAGGGGCACCAAGCAGCTTTCTGAGATTGGTTTGAGACAGAAGGACTCAGGGCCAGGAGAGGTGAGGGCAGAGCCATGCGTCAGCTCTGCACCACCAGGTCTGATCCATAAAGCTGTAGGGGTAGGGGTGGGGGGGAGAGAGAGAGAGAGAAGGAGACAAGAGAGAGATTGGGAAATTGGGTAGAGGGTGGAGATGGCAGGGCTGAGCAGGTTAGGCTGGAGCACACTGTGTTCCTCCCCAAAGTCAAATCCAGGATGGCAGCGTGGAGGACGTTTGCCTTTAATGCGGCCAACCCAGGTTGTGATCCCTGAGTGCAGCACCAGGAGGGAGCCCTGAGCACCGCAGGGTATGGCCTCCGCAGAAAGAAACAAACAAAAAGAGATCCCATGGCCCATTGGGCAGAGAGGAGTTGGTTGACTCCAGGTGTCCCTCTCGAATCCTCCGCAGAACCCCACGGACATCTCGGCTATGCCTCCCTCAGCATGCGGCTGGCCCAGCTGCTCTCCCGGCCTGGTTGGCGCAGAATCGAAGAATTTGTGCACATACTCCCGGGCCCCCACTTCGAGGAGCGGCACCCGCTGCCCAGGTGCCTGCAGAAGAAACGTAGGTTTGTGAGTGATTTTGCTTTCGTGACCCGCCTTTCACCTTGATCGAGTCTTGGCAAGACCTGAAGACTCTTTTCTTACATTCTCATTTTTAGAAATAAAATTGCTTACATTTTTCATTCAAACACTTGAGGTTCTGCAGTGTGACCTCAGGGCTGTGTGCAGGGTGTGCGGGAAATTCTGTTTCTCCCACACGCCCGTCCCAGCCTGTTTCCTACTGGTTATTTTCAGCACATATTTATTTGTTTGCTTTGCTTTGGTTTTTGCTTGGGGCCTCACCTGGTGATGCTCAGGGGTTACTCTTGGGGGTCCTCAGGGGTCCATATTTGACTCTTTGATGCCTGGGAAGCACCTTCGCACTGAACTATCTGTCGGGTCCCCGGGACATTTTCTTTTTTAAATGTTGTCTTTTTCTGAAAGGTGGATTTTTGTTTACAAATATGATTTTATATGTTTTGTTTACTATCTTTATTACAGGGAGCACTTCTGAAAAATTTCTCTTTCGAAGTGTCAGCTTGGCTCTTAAGGGCGCCCGGGCCAGAACTCTGGCTCTATCTTCTGTGCGGTGAGGTTTCTCCATGCTTAGTCCCTTAAAAGTATCTGTAGACCCAAAAGCATTGATTTATGTGAGTTTTCAACCAGATGTTTTTCCTGTGGCATATTCTTAACTGGAAATAGGGAAAATTGGGCATGGCTGGAGTTCTGACAGGCCAAGTGAGACCCCCCACCCCCAAGTGGGTAACCACCACCTAGAGTGTGCGACCCTCGGCCTCGGCGAGAAAGGGAGGGAAAGGGAAAATAAATACTGGAATGAAGGGGAAGATGCAAGGGGGAAACACGTTGGCTTGATAATGTCTTCTAAAAACAGCGCACCAGGGCCAGAGAGATAGTAAGGTGGGTAGGGCACTTGCCTTGCCCCTGGCAGACCCGGGTTCGTTCCCAAGCACCCAATACGGTCCCCCAAGCCCCACCAAGTGTCACCCCCAGTGCCAAGCCAGGGAGTCAGCCTGAACCCATGCATTTCCCCAACGCTTCCGGTGCCTGTCTGCGCCCTCTGCGCCCTCTGCCATTGGAAGCTTGTGCAGGTGTGTTTGAGATGTGACCGCGTTTCCCTGCATTCCTTGGGCATGTGAGTTGATTTGTGGTACTGCTGCTGCTGATATCAAGACACGACCTTTCTAGAATGCAGGTGCATCACCAGATTTCCGGGCACCCTTTCCCCTCAGCATGTTGGTCTCAGCAGCACCTTAAGAGAAAGAACCCAGGCCTCGCTGTGCCATCGGCCCCTGTGGTTAACGTAAACAAATTTTTTTTAATACGGAATTATGGCTGGAGCGATATTACAGCGGCAGGGCGTTTGCGTTGCACGTAGCCAACATGGCCGACCCGAGTTCGATTCCTCCACCCCTCTCGGAGAGCCCGGCAAGCTACCAAGCGTATCTCGCCCGCCCGGCAGAGCCTGGCAAGCTCCCCGTGACGTATTCGATATGCCAAACTCAGTAACAACAAAGTCTCCAATGGAGACGTTACTGGGCCCGCTCGAGCAAATGGACGAACAATGGGAGGGCCTTTACTTTTTTCACTTTACTTACGGAATTCTGGGTGGTGTGGAGATAGCTTAGAGGGCTAGAGCCCCAGCATCACCTGGGGAGCCCCGGGTTCAGGACAGGAGGGACCCACTCACCACCAGTTATGACCCTAGTAGCTGTTAAAGAGGAATTGCAAGGGCTGGAGCTATATACATTCGGAGGGCATTTGCCTTGCACGCAGCTGACCCAGGTTCAATCCCCGGCATCCCATATGGTCCCCGAAGCACCACCAGAATAATTCCTGAGTGCTGAGCCAGGGGTATCCCCTGAGCCTCGCCGGGTGGGAGTTGTTAGAGGTGTCTCTGTAGTAATACGCCGTTTTTCAAAATGAATGTTTTGTTTGGGTGCTCGGGGTTGGGCAGGGCCGGGCAGGAGCCGGCTTAGCTGTCCGCAGGCAGACACAGTTCCCGCTCTGAACAGTCACCTGGGCCCTTGAGCAGTTCGAAAGATGCCCCCTAATGCTTTCCTTCCTCTGAATCATCCTCTCTACTCTGCTCCAATGCAGAGTTTCTGGTCCTTTTCTGAGGACTCTTTGGACATCCTGACCAGGGTGGCTTAGACTCAAGTGTGAGGCTGCACCCCAGACCTGGCGGACCCATCCTACGGAATCTTTGGGGATATTATGCTCACTCTGGGCCACTCTTTGGGAGGTCTCCCTCTGCACCCCGCCCCCAGTCTGCACATCTCCACGGTGTTATTTTTTTATTGTTAATTTTTTCACCCGGTGATGCACAAGGGTTACTCCTGGCTCTGCACTCAGGATTTCCTCCTGGCGGTGCTCAGGGGACCATGTGGGGTGCTGGGATTCGAACCCAGGTTGGCTGCATGCAAGGCAAATGCCCTCACTGCTGTACTATCGTTCCAGCCCCAACACTAGAAGCTTCGACCTGGAATTCTTGTTCCTTCGGGTCTTTTGCATGGAAGGGCGGGTGTGAGTCAGAACTGAGCAACTGTGGGCGTTGGGGGGATTCTATAGCATGTGGGGTGCCCGTGAGTCTTCCAAGGCATGTGAGGTCGCCCCTGCCGGGTTCTGTAGGGCAGCTGCGGCTAGGACCTGGGTGAGGCCAGAGACCCGCCTCACCTCCAGTCACCTTCTTTCAGTCCTTTTTGCTGGCTTGCTCTTCTCTTCGAGCTCTTGCTAACTCTGAATTTTCCCCCTTACATGTGACAATTTCCTCTATCTGGATATTTTGAAGTTGAATGCCAGCGTGAGGTGGGTGACTGGGCTGGCTGATGACAGTGAATAGATGCCGTTTGCATATGTCCTGTGCCTTCAGACTATATATAGTCTTGAACTGTGTCTGCAGCTCCTGACATTTTGTTTGGACCGGAAGACTGATTTTTATGTAACTTCCTCATAGAACGGTGTGTGGTGCTCCCCATCACGCCACAGTTCCCAGGGCTGGTGTTTCCCTGTCCAGAAGACGCTGGACAGACGTGAGCCAAAGCTCTAGCTGGGAGGAAGCATTTGTACCGCGGGATGAAATAGAACTGCCTTTGAGTCAAGCTGACATTTTCAAGAAATACAAAACAGACTTTTTTCCCCCCATTTTTAGTACCAGAGCAGATAATCCCCTAAGGTTATTTGCTTCCCTGAAAGATATTTAGCTTGCCCTTTCAAAGTTCATTTAGAGCAGATCTTGGCGTTCAATCAGAGTTGGCTGCTAACCGAGGTCAGAGTGTTTGCTTATTTGTGGCCTTCTTTGTCTCTTAAGAGGAACCGTAGTTAGAGGCCACCAGAGAAAACAAAACACAAGCACCTGCTTCCTCCCAGCTTGGTTCCTCTGTTCTCAACCCCCGGCCATTTGTGTATGCATCTTCCCCAGAACAGGCGGGGGACAGAGGTAGAGGGAAGGTCTGAGAAGCCCCTGCATGTTGCTCCCCGAGCAGTGCTCCCCATCTTTGTGGCTTCTGTTGAGGTTCTGCAATGAGTCATCAGGTGCTAGTGACAAATGTGTCATGTATGGCGTGACACAAAGATGGAGTTTGTGCCATCAGTCCCCAGGGTGGGAGGAGGGAGCGTCGGGTTTTGGGGGTCAGTGGCAGGAGTATGTGACCCATAGCGTGTCGGCTTTATTTCGGGTGGGGGAAAACGGATCGTTTGGGGAGAAGTGTGCTTGGGGTACAGATTTGCCGCGTTTTTCTGGATTTCTCTCTCTCTCTCTCTCTCTCTCTCTCTCTCTCTCTCTCTCTCTTTTTATGTAGGAGTACTGCTATTTATCCAGCCACTGATTAGCTGATTGAATTGTGCATGAATTCCACCTTACTTTTTTTTCACTTTTTATGATTTTATTTATTGAATCACCGTGAGAGCAGTTACAAAGCTTTCAGGTCTAACTCTCCGTCATACAATGAAACACCCGTACCTTCACCAGTGCCCATTCTCCACCCCCAACAACCCCAGTATATCCCCATCCCACACCCTCCCCCTACCAGTGGGGCAGATGATTTCCACATTACTCTCTCTCTACTTTGATCACATTCAATATTTTGACACCAGACCCACCATTATTATTTGAGATTTTGCCCCAACACTCAGATCTGCTGAAAAGGCAACAGTAGACAATTTGTTTTCTATTGCTGGTTATGAATAACATATGATGTTTCGTGGCTGCAGTACTGGCCACACGATTTTGAAATTCTGACATTTGAACACTTCAATCTGGAGGGTTTTCTGTCAAAACCTGTTGGGTTCCCGAGAATTGCTCCTGAGTCTCTGGGATGATGGTCGTTAAGCAGCTTGATCAGGAGCCAGAAAGGCCGTTCGTGGGCAATGACTTGGGGTCTCTTGGGGACAGGGAGGACAGGACTGGCTCCACCCCCATCCTGTGAGGCCCAACAAGTTTTGTCACTGAGGTCCCAAGCCTGACTGTCCAGTGGCCTCTAGAGGATGGCGGCCACCGGGCCACCAGAGGGAACAGGCCAAGGCACGAAACCGTGGGCCCAGCACTGCAGGGACCAGACGCATTTCTGCCAAAAGCCACTGGGTTTCGAGATTTGTTTCTGAGTCTCTGGGATCATGGCCATTAAGCAGTTCAATCAGGACCCAGGGAGGCCATGCCTCCAATGATCTAGCTGAGCCGGAGGTGATTTGTGGGTGTGTTTCCCACCTACCTAACTATTGGCCGTTTACTTTCTTGCTAAACTTTGCCCCAAGTTTTTGGGGTCTGGCCAAAGGCACAACAGCAATTTTGGGGTATCTGGAAGTGTGGAGGCGCCATCAGGCTGCTGATGCACTCTCCTCAGAGGTACAGTGATTTTTGTTTGATGGTTTGTGTTTTTATGTAGGAGTACTGCTATTTATTCAGCCACTGATTAGCTGATTGAATTGGGCATGAACTCCACCTTACATTTTTTTCCATAATTTTCTTTCTTTCTTTCTTTCTTTCTTTCTTTCTTTCTTCTTCTTATATTTATTTATTGAATCACTGTGGGAAAAGTTACAAAGCTTTCAGA